GGGCCGCCGTCAGCTTGGGAGCCAGCACCGGAGGGGAGGAGCGGACGGCGGCGGCCCCCGGCGCCGTGGGGCGCTCCCCCGAGGGGATGCGGGGCAGGAGCAGGGGCAGGCGGGCGACCAAGGCGTTCACCTGGGGGCTGGGGGCCGCCTTGGGGGGCTCCGGGGGCTTCTTCTTGTCCGGCCGGGCCGCGCCGGGAGCCTTGGGGCCGGTCTCCTTCCTGACCTGCGGGCAGAGGAGCTGCTGGGGGGGAGCCGAGCGGAGCAGGGAACCGAGGGGGCTCGGCCCCAGGGGGGTCCCACCTGCCCCTGGCTCCTGTCGCTGCTCTCGGAGGTGTCCGCGCTGCTCTTCCTGGCTGCCGACGGGGCCCGGCTCTCCCGGGGGATCTTCTCCGTGCCCTCTGCGTGCACAGAAGGGGATGGAAGTGGGACACGGCCCTGGGCCCCTCAACCACCCCACGGGCAACGGTTGGCAGCAGCTCAGCCCCACCACGGGCGGCTGGAAAGGGACACCCAGCTCCCAAACCCTCTGCGCCCCGATGGGGTCAGAGCGAGCCCAAAGCCAGGGGGGAGCGGGCCCAGGACTCCCCTGCACACACCTGAGACCACCATGGCCATGACCAGGTCGGCGTGGGCCGAGCGGGAGCTGATGATGTGCTGCTGGATGAGGAACTGCGCCACCTCCACGATGTTGTTGAAGGAGCGCTTGAGGATCTTCTCAGCCCAGTCGCAGGTCAGGGCGCAGGCCGCCTCCATCACCTCGATGTTGTAGGACTGCACCAGATCCGTCAGCTCCGACTGCTGCGCGAGGGACGAGCCATGAGCGCCCGCAGCACGGGGCAGGATGCTCGGATGTGAGCATCCCCCACACATCACAAGCCTGCAGGTCCTTGGGAGCTCTCTTTTGGAAGTCTCACCCGACAGAGACCAATTCATTTCAATGGGCTCTAACAGGCAAGGAGCTTCATTACCCCACCAAAAGCACGTTGGCCAAACTCAAGCCACGGAGGCAGCAGAGGACTTACGGTCTCTGTGACCTTGAGGTCCAGGCTGGGCAGGGGTGGCAGGCTGACCACCGTCTTCCTCCGGATCCCGCTGTAGCAGTATGTTTGGCAGCGTTAAGGTCTTTTGCTGTCACACAAACGCGGCCGCAACAGGCGATGGTCACAGCTCGAGGGGTTACAGCTGCGGGGCTCATAATGGGAGGTGTGAGAGCAGCCGGCCCCAGGCTGTGATACCCCCTTTGTGGTGTGCTCCCTGCCCACCATCAGCTCCGGGCGCAAGGGGCAAGGATGGGGCAACCCCTCACCAATTGAGCTGCACCTGCAAGAGACAAAACCCCAGGCACCAGCCCCTCTTTGGACGCTGCCCCCTCACACACAGACCTTCACACGGGGACAAGCTGGAGGAGCAGCAGCCGCCACCAGGCCCAGCCGGGCACAGGCAAGGATATTTGGACTGGCCCCGGCCCCCCAGCCGCCGGGCCTTGATGTTTGGGAAGATCTCCCGGATGATCTTGCCGAAGTTGGCGGCGCTCAGCGGGCGGCAGCAGAGGTTCTCGCAGTACCGCCTGCGCGGGAGAGCCGCGGCTCAACGCCACCACCCCTTTTCTGCACCAGCTCCCCCCCAAAACGGGGCTCCTGGAAGGGCCCCAGGGTTCAAACAACCCCAGGCACTCGCTGCCCTCCAAAGCACCCGTGCTTCTCCCGGCCCTGCGCTCACTTGTAGGCATCGTAGACATCCTGCTTGGGCAGGCAGGTGTCCGTGTGCTCCTCCAGGTGATTCCGGATCCAGTTGCACGCGTGCATGTACTCAGCCGTGCTCAGCGAGCTCAGCTCCAGGCTGCTGCTGCTCCCGTGGGAGACCAGGACAAGCCATTAACACAGAAGCAGGACATGAGGCAGCCTCCCCGCATCCCCCTTGTGAATGATGCTCCGTCCCTGGCAGTGTTCAAGGCCAGGTTGGACAGAGCCCTGGGTGCCCTGGTTCAGTGTGAGGTGTCCCTGCCCATGGCAAGGGGTTGGAACTGGATGATCTCAAGGTCCTTCCCAACCCAAACAATTCCATGACTCTATCTCTATCCCCCACCATCATCCCTGCTCTCCTGGCCACAGCCCTGGCTCGCTCCAGCACCCACCTCTTCTCCCCCAGGCTCGGTCCTGTCGGCAGCTGGAGGTAGAGATAGAGCTTGTCACTGTCTGAGAACTTCTGGACATCTTGCTACAGGCGAGGGATCCGCAGGGAGAACGCACCAGAGACAAGGCAAGGTTAAGGATCCAAAGCAAGGAGCAAGGATAACAGCACTAACTGATGGGGCATGGAAACCAGAGCACCTCTGTCAGCATGAGCATGGCTGCATGCGAGGCACCCGGGCAACCACACTCATGGGAAGGGGTTTTCCACACAGGGCTGAGGCAGCGGGTGCCCCCCCCCAGGCAGGGTGATGAGGGGCTCTCGGGGCTAATCCCAGCAGCCAGATCCTGACCCGATGGGAAACGGGCTCCAGCAAGCCCCAGGGTTCAGCTTAGCGAGCAGAGCGCGGTGGAGGCGCATCATTCCCTCACCCTCAGCGCAATGTGCCACGGAGGCACTCACCAGGATGGAGTCCACTTTGTTCTGCACGGCTTTGCTGTGTGGGACAGAGACAAAAGGGGTTAGGGCAGAGCAGGAACACACACCAGCACCCAGGCGCTCCTCAACCCGCTGCTTAGGGTTCCCAAGGGTGGTTCCACCATACCCAGGCCCTTCCAGACCGCACACCAGTCACTGGGGACACTGGAGCACAGGAGTCAAAGCTGCCTGCACCCATAGATCAGCACAGCCCCGTGCTCTGGGCTTCGCTGTGCACCCACAACCCCACTCCAGAGCTGTGTGCTCTATCCTAACCCCAGGGAGGGCAGAGTGGGCATAAACCCACATCCCACGGGGTCATTGCAGACCAGTGTGTGCTACTGCGGAGCTCTGAACTGATTCTGCACCCAACGAGGCAGCGCAGCACAGGGCTGTGCTCTGTGTTCACCACTTAGCACAGGTCCATGCCCCTCTGCAGTGCCAATGCTCCAAGGCCCCCCCACGTTCATCCCTTTGGTACCCGGGGCTGCCAATTAATCAACCTTATTAAATGAACCCACATTTGGTAACACTGAGACTGACGGGAAGAGCTGCGCAGGGAAAAGCAAGCGCTGCCCTTACGAGATGGTGCTCTTCAGCTCCTGCAGCAGGGTGCTTGACTCCGTCGTGCTGCCCCGGGAGCTGCTGGGTGACAAACTTCCCTTTCTGGCGGCTCGGGCGCCCAGCTCCTCGTCAGCCATGGCATGTGGCTCCTGGTGGGAAGTGAAAACCAGGCATCCACTGACAACAACGGGAAGGAAATCCCTTTGGAGTTACTGAGCCCTCAGCGGGCTGAACCCCGGCTGCCTGCCCTGGGCCAAGCTCGGGGGCTCAGCGCAGCCCCCTCCATCCTGCCGTGGACATGGCCATGCTCTGGAGGCTGAGCTCCATCACCCAACCACCCCTCACCAATGGACACGGAAGTGGCCCCCCCAGGGGTGTCTCCAGCCGCAGAGGCTGTGCCCGGCTCTGGGTACCCTGCTCCCGGCAGGGGACAGGGATGCTGGGGGGCACCGGAGACCAACCCTGTCCCAGCACACACATGGAGGGGGGGGGGGACACCAGCAGGGCTGGAGTGCCCCAGGCTGGGCAGTGCGGGGTGAACGTGGGAGCCCCACGGGGCCCGGGTGCGTGAGGGCAGCGGGAGGAGAGGACCCCGCGGACCTGGGCACAAGGGGGCGGAGGGAGGCGGCGGTGCCCGGGTCCGGGCAGGTCCCTGCGGGCTGGGGAAACGGTTCCGCGGCAGCGCAGCCCCGGGGGGGGCCGGGGCCATCTCCGCACCCCCCCCCCATCCATCCCATCCCGCACCCACCTGCGGGCCGCCCGCTGCTGCCGCTCCCCGCCACGTGCCGCTGCCCCGCGCGCAACAGGAACCCAAAGTGCGGAGCCCCGGCGGGACGCGCCCGCGGACCCCCGCCGGCTGCTTTTTTCTGATTGGCTGAGGCACCGCCGATCTGCCCGGATACTGCGCTCTTCTTGAATGCGATTGGCTGTTCTGGCTTTCCTACCCGGATACAAGCTGAGTCGGGCTCCTGAGTGGCTGCGAGCGAGGTGAAGTCTGCCTAGTAACGGAGTTCTGATTGGTGGGATGGGAGGAGGCAGCACGGGCGTAAACGAGCGTGCACACGCTGTGCGTGCAGCGTGCGTGTGTGCGTGTAGGGTGCGCACGTGTGGCACATTATGTACACATGTAGCATGTACACATTTAGCATGCAGTATGTACACATGTAGCGTGTACACATGTAGCATGTACACATTTAGCATGTACACATGTAGCATGCAGTATGTACACATGTAGCGTGTACACATGTAGTGTGTACACGTAGCATGCAGTATGTACACATGTAGCATGTACACATGTAGCATGCAGTATGTACACATGTAGCGTGCACACATGTAACATGCAGTATGTACACATGTAGCATGCAGTGTGCATATGTAGCATGCAGCACGCATATGTAGCATGCAGTGTGCATATGTAGCATGCAGCGCATGTAGCATGCAGTATGTACACATGTAGCATGCAGTGAGTGTATGTAGTATGCAACGTGTGTGCATGCAGTATGGGCACGTATGCAGGGGGTGTGTGCATGCAGCATGGGCACGTATACACTGTATGTGTGCACGCAGTGTGGGCACGTATGCAGTGTGTGTGTGCATGCAGCATGGGCATGTATGCAGTGTGTGTGTGCATGCAGCATGGGCATGTATGCAGTGCATGTGTGCATGCAGTGTGGGCACGTATGCAGGGAGCGTGTGCACTGTGTGCAGGTGCCACGTTCTGGTTCCAGGTCGCACCAGACTCGAGGCACAACGGTGCAGCCAGAGCTTGCTTTATTTCACCACCAGAGGGGAGCCACCGGAGCCCCGGGTGTCCGGATGCACAGCGGTGCCTAAACCCAGATATCGGAGGTGCAGTCCCCGCCCGGGTACCGGATCTCGTGCGCCAGGCAGGGCCCGTCGGGCTCCTTCCCAAAATCCACCAGGAAGCTCCGGTTGACCGTGAGGCCGCCGCACTCTGTGTCCACGTCCAGCTGCAGCATCACGGAGCCGTCCCTGTGCAGGGTGAGAGCAGGAGGCTGGGGGGGCTGCATGGGGGGGCCCTGCCCCTGCATCCCCCCCCCATAGCTCCGACAATGGCCCGCGTGCATCAGGGTTTTCTTACTCAATGAGGTCGGGGTAGAACTGCCTGTCCCAGGCGCTGTACAGGGACGTGGTGACGTACAGCCTCTGCCCGTCCAAGCTGAGCTGGATCATCTGCGGTCCCCCCTGCACCCTCTTGCCCTGGGAGCAGACAGATGGGCTGCTGGACGGTGCAGGACAAGGGGTGCTCCTGCCTCCCCTAGGCTGCCGCGTCCATCCCATGGGATGCACAAGGACCCGCTCCCCAGCCTCGCCATCATTCCCCAGGCTGGGAGTTTGGGGACATGGCCACGCTCACCTGGATGACAAACGGGTCTGGCTGGCTCTGCAGCTCTTCATCCCTGCACACGGTCACGGGTCCACCCTTGGTGATGCTGCCACCCAAAAAGACCTGCGAGAGAGCCAAGGGCTGGGTGGCCAAGGCAGCGAGGAGGGACTGATCCCAACTGTCCCCACCAGGCAGAGGGATGCGACCAGGAGCCTGCTGCTGCCTCACCTGCCCCACCAGCCTGGGCTTGCGGGTGTCGGAGATGTCATACTGGCGGATGTCCCCGTGCAGCCAGTTGCTGAAGTACAGGAACCTGTCGTCCAGCGAGATGAGGATGTCGGTGATGAAGCCTAGGGGAGGGTACAACAGAGCTGCACAAGCAGGCAGCAGCACCGGCAGTGCCCCGGGGAGCCGGGGAGCACCGCAGCACCCAGCCTGGGATGCACTGACCTGGCATGTCCGGGAGGAGCCATCCCTCCACCTTTTTGCTGGGGACTTGGATCACCTTCTCGGCCGCCCAGTCTCCTTGCTGCGGGAGGTGTGGGACAGAGCACGGCCCCGGGGGGCTCAGCGTGCGGGCAGAGGCAGGATAAGACCCAACCCTGGGGCAGATTTTGCCTGCATGTGTCCACAACCTCTACTCTCTAGGGCTGTAGAGCTACTCTGGAGCCATCCCTGGCTCTGCAGAGCCATGGGTCCTGCAGCCTCAGGAGGAGCTTTGAGGAGGCCAAAACCTGGTCTCATTTCCCAGTGAGATTGGCTGGTTTGGTGAAAGGGAATTCTCTCTGTTCACCCAGCTCATCATTAAGCACCACAACAGACACCAAGAACAATATGGCTTGGGCTGTCATAAATCCACAACCAAAGTAGAAATAAATCTCCTTTAAATTAAATCATCTCAGCCAAAGCTGCACCCACTCAATACAAGTCCTCTGGTGAGGCTACCCTGGGCTAGCCCCTGGTCTGGGTGCACGGGGAGGCAGTGTGTGCCTCAGTGGGGACGATGGGGAATGCAGGAGGTGGGCTGCTGCAGTTCTGCAGCTCCATCCACCCTGTTCCTCTAACCCTGTGGTGTCCCCAGAGAGCACCTTGGTCTTGTAGAAGCGGTGGATGGCGCTGCTGATGGTGCAGCCCACGTAGCCCTCGGCAGCATCGGGGTTGTGCAGGAAGCGGATCTCCAGCGGCGCCGCATCCTCACCCACGTCGATGGCCTGGATGTAGGTGCGAGTGGTCCAGTCCCACACGTTGAGGTGGCGTCCGTAGCGCCCTGCGAGGGGGGCACAGGGGATGCTGCCAGGTCAGCGCCTCGAGCAGGTCTGCTGCAGGTTCAGGTGAGTCTCAGCCCCTTCAGCTCCCCCCAGAGATGACCCCTGGTCTTTGTACTGGTTGCTTTGGACATTGGCAAAAGCCATGGGAAGATGCCCAGCATCCAACAGGGACCGTCTCACTAGGACAGCGCTGGGAAGGGCAGGGAGCCTTTGGGGTGAGCTGGCCTGAGATGGAGCTTCATCCTTCATCCCTACAGCTGAATTCCAACCCCATGTACAGCTCAACAGCAGCATTTATGGACTGCCTTGGGCTGAACTTCTGGTGCTTGCACCTAAAGGGTGCTCACAGTAGCAGGGTTGGGTCTGCCCATTGCCTTCCAACTGGCAGCAGAACAGGGCTGAAATCTGGTCTGCTTGCAGCATCTCTCTCCTGGGGTTTTTAAACACTCTTTTCTCACCTTTCTTCAGATCACTTGGGTCAAACCCATAACCCAGGCATTTGGGGATTCCCCATTCCGTGCTGATCAGGACGTTGTGGCGTGGCTGGTACCAGAAGTCATAACCCATTGAGGGGATCTTGTCCCCTTTCTCCCAGTTCCCCTTGATATCAAAGGTGTCCCCATCCAGCAGAATAAAGCCACCTGATGTGAAAACAAAACCCCATGGGCAGGGAGGAAATCACCCAGATTAGCAGTTTCCACCTTATAAAACCAGTAACAGACACATCAATGGAATGGGCTGGGGGGCCTGGGTGCAGCCTCCAGGACAGCTCTGGATGAGGGGATGGTTCCTCCTCATCCAGACCCTCTCCCTGGGGGGCTGAGGTACCTTTCCCACTGCCAGCTGGGTCTCCTAGGGCGCTGATCATGATCTCCCCACTGCCCAGGCAATGGGAGGTGTGGGGATAGCCCAGGCTGCACTTCCAGAACACGTCCTCTGGGTTGACAACCTGCAAGCGTTCACAGGCACCATCAAGTCCTCGGCCTGGGCTGTCCCAGGCCTGCCCTGGTCCCCTCCTGCACTGGGCTGGATGGAGAGCTCAGTATTTGCAAACCAGCAGGAGAGAAACGCCTTCCACTGCCTTCCCATTCTGCCATCCAGACACAGGGGGCTTGCAAAGCTCTTGGGGGTACCCCAGAAGCCTCTTTGCTAAGTTGTCCCCACAGTCCTTTCTCCTTCAATGTGCATGGAAGGTACCTTGAAAAGCCTGGGAGCTCGCGGGTCGGTTCCCACATCCACCACGTAGATGCGGGAGGAGATGAAGCTGGGCAGGATCAAGCGGTTGCGCTTCTTGGTGGCATCCCCGAAGCAGCTGCTGCAGGTGTTCCAGCCCGAGTGGTGCAGCTCGTCCCCCACGTTGGGCATGGGCAGGCGGTGAATCACCTGCAAAGCCCCAGCCCCGCTTGCTGCTCCTCTGCCAAGTGCAGGCTCAGAGGCAGAGCCCGCCTCAGGCAAGCCTCAGCATCCCCAGGGGAGCGATGGTGCATGGGGGACCCTGAGAATGGGGTCTGGAGAGGGTTTTAGGGGTATTTTGTAAGCACAGGAAGGTTCAGGGTCTTGGGGAGGACAGGACAAGCATCAACCTCAGTACTGAGCCAGCAGCTTTGGGGAGAGGGAAGGCTGAGGTAAAGCGTTTGGTACCTGACAGTAGTGTGGAGATTGGGGGTTGATGTCCACAGTGGCCAGAAAGTCGGGTTTCTTCCTCCCTGTGTTCCTGTAGATGCAGGGCACATACACGAGCTCCTCCCGGGGACCTTTCAGGACAGAATCGTTGCGTGAGCATCAACAGACCCCACCTCTGGCTGAATCCAAACCTTGCAGCAGCCTCTGGTCAGCCTGGATCTCCCTCCCGGGGGGCCCTGTTTGCTCATGGGGTGGTTGGATGTGCTTCTGTGCCATACCAGAGGCACGAGGCTGAGTGAAAGGCAGAACCCCCCCCCCGGCCCCTGGGCCATCCCATAGTGAAAATCCCTGCCCAGCCTTGCCAACACGTGTGGCTCTTTGAAAGGCTCCTCTCTTCACTGCTCTTTTCTTGGTTCAAAGACAAGTCATGGAGAGGAATCACAGATCATGAGCAAGCTCCAGAGCTCTTTAGGGCTTCTCGGAGGTGTTTGCTAAGCCCTAGAGAATAGGATTAAGGGAGGGATGGCCAGGGATGATGCATTCAGCAGTCTCTCCACATCAGAGCATCAGAGTTTTGGCAATGCAGCACTATTCAGGCAAAGCGTCCAGACACGTAAGGAAGCAGCCCATGAGGCTGGTTTTTAGACAAGGTTTTGCCCCGTTGTGACCCCAGCCATCAGGCCAAGTGCAAGGGATGAGGATGCTCACCTCTTTCTTCCCAGGTTGAACCCCACTGCTGGTGTTTGGTGGTGTCATGGGGCTCTATCAATACAATTGCCCCTGAGAAACTGAAAACCTCCATTTGGTTTGGCCCAGGGAAGCCGCAGGAGACTCTGCTGCAGGCTATGACCCAGCCCAAGCCAGCCCAAAGCCTAACGAGGTTTGTTCTGACACCAAGCTGTCATTATGCAATTGATGCTTGGCCTCAGAACAGACCAGAAACAAAACCCTCGCTTCCCTACGCTTGCTGGGAGCCTCCTCAGAGAATGGAGTTAATTGATAACGCCCTCTGGAAAGCGTTGTGTTAATGCTCACTACCTCAGCACAGCTCTCCCCTGCCTGCCCGGCCTTTCAGACTTGCCTTTCATGGCATCCAGAGGGGAGGCGAAGCCAGGACCGCACGCTCCACACTTGTCTGCATTGGGGAGAGCAGAAACAAAGAGCAATGAGATGGCAGCGAGTTCTTTCACCCCCTTTTCCCAAAGGAACTGCTCGCTGCAGTGCCCATGCTCGGTCCCACTCCAGGGCAATGGAGAGCTGAGATGCCCGTGTGCATCCAAATGACACCCAGAAAGGTCCGGGGCTCTGGGCAGCCAAACCTGGCAGGGACAGATTCCTAGTGCAGAGGGCACAAGGCTCAGAGCAGCATCTCCCTGCTTTGCCTCCCATCGTGTCCCTGTGGCACAGGAAAGCTCAGGACGGGCAGGGGCAATGCCAGGCAGATGCCGGGAGGAGGCAGTGAGGAAGGGAGGCAGCACCAGGCTGCTGCACCGGGAGAGGAGCCCAGCAGAGCGGGGTGAGCAGGGGGATGAGCCCCAGGCTCTGCTCTGCGGCTCCTCCTGACCCTCTCTTGGGTGCTGCGCTTTGCCGTGCCCTGGCCTGGGGGCATTCATGCGAAGCTTTCACTTAGAAAGCCTCGTTCCCACCCGACGTGGTCAGAGCTCACAGCATCGCTCTCCTCGCCAGCTCCTGGCATCAGAATCATTGATGATTCTGTAATCATCAAACAGTCAGGGTTGGAAAGGACCTAAAGATCACCAAGTTCCAGCCCCCATCATCCTGGGAATCCCTGTGATGCTGCTGTGGGTCTCCAGGCGCATCAAACCCCCCCAGCCTCACTCTCCAGAACACCTGAAAACTGCTGAGAGTTTTTCTTAATGCTGTTGAAGGAAGCTGTTAGGAGACAGGCACCACCAGCAGCAGGACCCTTCTCCCCATCGACAATGGCAAGCCTGAGGAGAGGGAGGAAAACCCCTGGCTAAATTGTACGACTCAGCCTTGCTGCATCAGCTTCTTGCTTGGTTCTGTTCTTATTCATCACTTGTGTCATTGCTGCTCCAGGGAAATGCTCCACCTGAAGCAGTGAGAAACCACCCCTCCAGCTTGCTTCTCCCTTCTCCTTTCATTACTCCTGCAAAAGCAGCCCCATCAAAGCCAGACTTTACACTGGGGACTCCCTGCCATGGTAAATCTGGCTGTAGCAAGCACAGCCTGTACGAGTTGCAGCTGAATAAATGAAGGAATAGTTTGAAGGCTTTGAATCACCAGTCTACCTAAATGTTCCCTGGCACTTCTAGTAGCTTGGGAAAAGAAACCCTTTCCTGCCCAGAGAAAACACCACATCCACCCCCTTGTTTCTTTCCACTTTCTGGATGTCAGAGTAATGAAACCACTAGACCCGGTTCCAAATGAGTTCAGGAGGACTCCAGCGCACAGCCCAGAGCCAAAAGGCAGCAGCAGCCCCAAGCCTTCTCTTGAGAGGAAGCTGCAGTCGATGCAGAGATCTCTTACCTGTTCTGGAGGCTGGGTTGGATCCCACCTGAGCGGCAGAAGGAGACGATCCTGCCTGCATCCTGCCTGCTCGGGGCACGTCAAGAGGGAAGATGCAACTCTGTGAGTGTTCAAGTATAAAGGGAGCAGGACCGGGAGAAGGCTTTGGGAAAAGGATGCCAAGGGGAGGATCCGCACACCCTGGGGTGTGGGAGGTACCAGGGCAGCCTTTAGCGTCTTAAAGCACTGCAAACGTGCAGGGAAGCTGCTTCAGTGCTGCCAGAACCTCCTCCCCTCCCACAGGGATAGGGGATGGAGCTGTTTCTGCACTGCACAGTGCACACACATTCCTGCACGCTGGAAAACCAAGGGCTTTTAGCCATGGAGGGAAAGCAGGCTGCTCCTCTGCTCCGAGTCCCTGCTGGCAGCAGTGTCTCAGGTTCCCCTGTGGGGCTGACAGGGTGCCCCCGATGAGGGATGGGCAAGCAGTGCACTTCCAACCACAGAAATAATGTTCTGAGGTTGCAGATGTTAATCACACCTCGAAATGAAAAATGAGGACTGGGTTTCTTCTAATTGCAGGCTCGGTGTTTACTGTGGGCTGTTAATTTGCTGCTGTGAGGAGGGCAGAAGCCAGGTAACAGTTTTCCCCATGACACATCCAACTTAGTCAGGGCCTGCTACTGCTTCTGGCTGCAAAGCCAGGCGCCAGCTGCCTTGCCTTGTAAGGGCTGAGCAGTGGATGCTCAGCCCCCCCAGGCACATCCTTGCTGGCAGGTTGCTCCAGTGCTTGCCCCAGATGCAGGCTCTCAAACCAGCAAGCTCCAATGGCCAGGCACTGCCGTCAGTGTCCCTGGACACTGCCAGAATGGAGATCAATGGCCCTTGGTTCTCCCACCCTCACCTGCCTGAGCTCAAATGCTTGGATGTGATGTAAAACACTGCAGGAGACAGCATCATCCTCCATGGAAATGCCTCTGGTGCAATTCAACAAGGGGGGAGCTGCTTCCCTCAGGGGTAAGGGTGATGCCAGCACCCTCTGTCCCAGTGGAGCCGCTGTTGGCAACTGCAAAGGACCTGATGGGTCCTGATGGGCACCAGGGAGAAGTTTCTTCCAAGTAACCACTGGAAGGAACAGAAGGAGCACCCAGCGTCAGCCACCCCAGTGTCCCACATCCCCCAGGATAACCTGTGCACAAGGGTGAGGAAAGGCCCACACTTCCTGAAACATGGAAATCAGGACCCAAATACCTGGGAAGAGCCCTCAGAGGGGATGAGAGGGTTTGCTCGTACCAGGAGCAAGATGTCCACATCCATCCAGCTTGGGCAGAGCGTGGCTTGATGATGGAACAAGGAGCTGGGTCATCTCTGTTGCATTGCCTGTTGGTGTTCATGGTGCAACCCAGAGCCCAGGCCAAGTCCTTGCCTTGCTGTGCAACCTGAAAGACAGAGATGGTGCTCAGTGATGTGAGGGGGAGCAGGCTCTGATCGCCCTCAGAAACATGGCCATGCACTAAGGGTGCTCTTCCCTGCACTAATGTGGATGGTGCCTGCTCCCATCACAAGGAGGGGTTTCCAGAGTGGATTCAGCTCAGTTGTTTCCAGCCATCCGGAACATACACTGGCATAAGGATGTCTGATGGCCAGACTCTCCTTCCAGACAACAGAGAGGAAGAGGAGTCACCTCTACCGAGATACGTCCTTTATAGGGTCTCTCAACAGCAAGGACATCCCCTGAGAAGGCCCTCAAACAAGGCAGGTCTGGAGCATCAGAATGGGGTGTCCTGAAACTTGGACCTTCATTAAACGTCATTCTCTCCAGCAAGTCAGAAGAGCCCTCCCAGGGGGAACTGTCCTGCAGAAGGGATTGTTTCTCTCCTGGGACCATTAAGGGTGCCCAGGAGAGCTGCAGCAGACCGGCCATGGGAAGTGTGAAGCAAGAGAGGACCTTTTCCTCCAAGGTAATTATGTGAAAGGCTAAAATGGATGAGGATTCACACGATATCCACTGGGGTGTTTTGTGTTTCAGGAGGACAGCAGGCACTTCTGACCAGCAACATTTCATCTCATCAGAATCTCTAAAACTATTACATCATCATTACATCATCATTATCAGCACATCATCATTAACCACTGCTGAAAACAACATAGGAATGCTTCAAGGAAATAAAACCAAGAATAGGTGAGGTGAGGAAGTTTTATTTGTGTTTAAAGCAGAACATGAGGGCAAACCAGTGTCAGGAAACAGGCACCTCTTCCAAACTGAAGCACTTGGTGCTCGTCCAGCTGTGACACACGGACCTGAGCACATACAAGGAGCCAGGAGGGCTCTCGTGCAGGGGAAGACTGTCCAGGAAGGACCTGGCTGAAGCACAGGAGCTCAGATGAACTGGGCACTTCACTTGCTTTTGCCTCAGTTCTCAAGGGTGAGCAAGCTCTGAAACAGAACTGAGAGCTCAGCACCTTGCCACCGGCCCCAGGACACAGAGCAGCAGCCAACAGGCTGGGACATCAAGGCAGGGCCCAAGAGGCCTGTAGCAATGAAGTAGGGCACGGTGGAGATGTGCCCAAAGGCACCGTGTGTACTGCACATCCCTGTGTGTGAGCAGCTCCCTGGGCTCTGCTCTGGGACTCATGCCCAGGGCTTGCTTTGCACGGAGAACACCACTGAGAACATGCCAGGTGTCTGCCCACTGGTCTGCCTGAACCAAAGCCTCGCAACAGGGCAGAGCTTGCACAGCTCGCATTAGCACAACCCTAGACTCCAGCAATGAAGGGGGACCCCAACCCAGTTACCCTAAGCTCTATCTTAATGGCTGCACTACAGAGGAGAGGGAAGAAGGGAGTCTTTCCTGCGGCGCCTAGGCCCTGATCTCAGAGGTGGAATCTCCACAAGGGAAGTGGATGTCTTTGGCAAGGCAGGGCCCATTGGGTTCCTTTCCAAAATCCACCAGGAAGTTCTTGTTCACGCACAGGCCTCCCTTCTCAGTGTCCACATCAATCTGCAGCATGACAGAGCCTTCCCTGCGAGTGGACAAGAGCGCAGCCATCACACACGAGCAAATCCCAACCAGGCTGAAACATTTGTGCTCTCCCCAGCTAAAGCCTGGCTCTGCAGCACCACACAGGCAGTGACTGCTCTGTGCCCAGCAGAGACCTCTGCGACTCAACTGAGTGGGGAAATCAATAGGAGGAAGCTGTGGGATGATGCGAGGAAAATCTTTCCCCCTGCAATCACCCACGGAGCCCTGTAGCCCCCCAGATGAGGAACCTTCCCCGTTCCTAACACAGAGCCCATGCAAAAAAGGCCCCTGGCTTCCCCATCAGTTCTTACTTGACCAGGTTCGGGTAGAACTGCTTGTCCCATGTGCTGTAGAAGGAGTTGGTGACGTACAGCCTCTTGCCATCCAAGCTGAGCTGCAGCCTACAAGGGCCGCCGTACACTCTCTTGCACTGAAGGAACAACACACAGCAGGGATGTCACTGCTCCTTGCTCTGCCCAGCCAAGCACAAGCAGGGGCAGAAACCCTGGACACAGAAGTAGCAGAGCAGAGCCCAAGTGCAGGGGGCACCCCAGGGCAAAGAGGATGCAGAACTCACCTTGACCACCAAGGGCTCAGGCTGGCACTTCAGCTCTTCATCTCTGCACACAGCAACGGGTCCACCTCTGAGGATGCTGCCTCCCACAAATACCTGTATGCGAGGCAGAAGGAGAAGTGTTGTCTGGTCATCTACCCACCACCAGACTCTGCTAAGGAAGACACCAGTGCAAGCCCCTCTGCCCCTGCCTTACCTGTCCCACCAGCCTGGGCTTGCAGTTCCTGGACAGCTCGTACTGGCGGATGTCTCCGTGCAGCCAGTTGCTGAGATACAGGTACTTGTCATCCCTCGAGATGACCAGGTCGACTGTGAAGGCTGGGGCACAGAAACAGAGAAGGCAGCATCAACAGAAACATGCCCTGCATCAAGCCCCAGCTCTCATCTCACCACCTGAGGGGAAACAAACCTGGCATCTTGCACATAATCCATCCTGCCACCTCCTTGGGTGGAATGCGAATCACCTCCTCCACTGACCAGTTGTCTCTCTGCACAAGAGACACAGGCACCATGAGTGCTCCTGCTGCCCACACAGAGCAAAGCTGCCTGGGGAAGGCTCCCACTGCCTGGGGAAGGCTCCCACTGCCTGGGGAAGGCTCTCACTGCATGCAGCTACTACCCCAGCACTTGCCTCACACTTGTAGAAGCGGTAGACGATGCCGCTCAGGGCACAGCTCACGTATCCCTCGGCAGCATCGGGGTTGTGCAGGAATTTAACACTCAGGGGCAGAGAGTCCTCCCCCAGGTCAAAGCACTGTGTCAGGGTGCGGCAGGACAAGTTCCACACATTCAGGCGGCGTCCATAGACCCCTGAGGAAAAGGAAAACAGAGTCAGAAGAGGGGGGTTCCGATGGGCAGGAGCCCCTTCCTAGGATGCTCACAGACAGGGACAGCCACGGCAGCAGGAAGCCAGGAGCAGCAGAGAAGCTGCTGTGAGGTAGGAGCAGTGAGAGCAGACAGGGACCAGCCTGACTTAAGGGCAGATGCTGCCCATCCCCTATCAGTGCCTGTCAATGGGCTGAGTGGAGAGAAACCTGCCTGTGCCCCTCTCCAGCTCTGGTGGCTTCTCTGATGGCATCGACACCCTCCCACCCCCCAGGGGCACTGGCTCAGCACTTGCACCCGTATTCCCTCACCTTTCTTCAAGTCATCAGGATTAAAGCCATATCCTGCACGTTTGAGCTCGAATCCAGCAGTGCTGATCAGAACATTGTGGCGTGGCTGGAACCAGAACTCATAGCCACTCGGGGGGCATGCGCACTCGTTTTCCCAGTTCCCCTTCAGCTCAAAGTTCTGTCCATCCAGCAACACAAATCCACCTGGCAGACAGAAAGGGGATGCATGGAAAAGATCCCATACTCCACTTCCAAACCTGCCATTGGCTCAGGGACCTTATCCAGGGCAAAATACCTTTGGAGTTGCCAGCTGGATCTCCCACGTTAGCAATCAGAATGTCACCGTTGGGCAGGCTGCGAGGCACGTTGAGGTACCCCTTGTTGCACTTCCAGAAGACATCCACTGGCTCAATCATCTGGGAAGAGTTCACACACACACTCTTTAGCTTCTGAGTGCTCAGCTCAATGCACAAGGAAGGCTCTGAGCTCCCCTCTACACAGACAAGAATGCAGCAGCACCTATCTCACTATAACAGCTTGTCTGTCTGTGCTGTGGCTTCCAGTTATTAGACTCTCCCTGAAGGCAACAGGCACAGAAAGGAACGTGAGGATGATGGGAGCCTCCCTTGCTCTGGAAAGCACAGAGCCGAGAGGGAACCGTGACCCAGCTCTCTACAACCAGGGTGGAAGAGAAGATGAGGAGAGAACCCTTCTTCCCCGTGTATTATTACAGAAGCACCAGTTCCCAACTCCTTCCCAGATCCTTGTCCCTGGATCACCTTTCGCATACCTTACAGAGCCTGGGAGCCCGGCACTGGGAACCCACATCCACCACGTAGATGCGGGAGGAAATGAAAGAGGGAAGAATCAGCTTGGTCCTTTGCGTGCTGGCATTGTCAAAGCAGCTGCAGCCACTGCTCCAACCCGAGGAATGCAGCTCGTCTTTGAGGTTGGGCATGGGCAGGCGGTGGATCACCTAGGCAGTCAAGGCAGAGTTAGGGTAGCGCAGGGAGCAGGGACAAACGGGCACCCTAATGCTGCACATACTTGTGTCTTGGGAGCCTCCACCTGACTGGAGCCTGCACTGCCTCTAGAGACTCTGGGAAGACAGGAGTGCTCCTTGCACTGGGCACTGCTCTCTCTTAGGGAACTGTGGGCAGCTGAGGAATGGGAGATGCTTGCAAGAATTCCTCACCCCGTGCAACTACAACTCAGGAAATGATGTTTAGGAAGAAATGATGATTATCATCTTGATGGAAGTGATGCACTGCTCTGCGAAGCCCTCCTTAGAATGCATCTCAAAATGTGATAACACCTTTCAGAAGGCTACATTGGCTTTAAAGTGCATTTTCTTCTAAGCTCTTGTAGCAATGGGCTCTCAGCTCATATAGACACCCTTGAAGGAGATAACCTGCCTTTGCAGCCTTCAGGATGAGAGCAGGCAGGGTGGTACAGCACACAAGAGAACATCTCCGACATGGCAGCACCAGAGATTCATGCTGAACTCTGCAGAAGGATACCCTCAACCCCCTTGGTCACCAGAGACCATTTTAATCTCACTGGTAGCACCAAGTACTCTGGAAGTGAGTTGGGAAGTGAGTCAGAACCAACTTGTCCCCGGGACACAGAGATGGAGATGATTCAGCCAGAGCCAGGCATTAAGGACAGTGGAAGACAGTAAATGTCATGGATCTAGCCAAAGAGGGAGCAACTGATCCCTGTTACACCAGTCCAATAACACCACAGTCAAGACAGGTACCTGGCCGTAACATGGAGATCTGGGGTTGAGATCCACGGTGGCAAGGAAGTCAGGTTGGTCGTTGCACGTTTCCCTGTAGGTACAGGTCACGTAGGCAACCTCCTCCCTAGGAGCTGGGTACAGAGAAAGCTGTGTTAAATATGTCAGGAACCAGCCACAAAGGAAAAGAAAAGCTTCCAAGGACTGAATTCCTTCTTCTGGATGCTGCAACCTCCCTACTGGTACTTGAACTAGAAGATCCCTTGCAACTGCAACTGCAACTATTCTCATCTCTTCTGTTCTGCTCCTCCTTGCTCACTGACAACTGTCCAAGCCTTGCTCCTTTACAGACCCAGAGACAAGAGAAAAACAAACGTTGTTCCCACCGGGGAAAGGGACCCAGCATAGCCAGCACCCAGCTGTGGTCTCCACCAGCACAGGCTTCTTTCCCAGACCACCCATTCCCAGCACGCTCGGGAGGACTTGCCTTTCAAAGTATCCGTGCAGGTGGGGTACTCGTAGCACTGAGCTCTGCATCTGTCTGGTTTGAGAAGGGAAGATCAATATGAGAAATGTGCATCCTACAAGGCACCAATTCAGAAGCCTCTGTCCCACCTGAGGGACCTTCTCCCACCCCAGCTGTCAATGAGGACCACTGTGACCAGCAGCTGCTGTCGCTATGGCACTG